GTAAGATCCTGACTTGATTCTGGACAGAGGAGCTAACCGGATTTTGAACTGTTATTCTTTGGAGATGGCGTAAGCATGCATTTTTTTTAATAGAGGACAGCTGCATTACTTCTCAGAAATATATTGCTGCTATTTGAAGTTTAAGTAGGATTTCAGTTAATCAGTCAAGAATTAGTTAACAGCTTGTGCTTAGATATATATAATTTGGTATCTCTTGAACTATACTAATAGTTATTTCTAATATGAATGTTGTTGACTTTGTCTTTGATTATAATTTTTATTAAAGTATTATGAAACAATTTTATTACTCTATAGCAGAGTTTAAATGGTCATTTTTTAAAGTATCACCTTGTCTAAGTCTCATTTGCACTTCAAATCAATTTCATAAGTAATTATTTTATGATAGTTTGGTTGTATTATTTTCAGTACCATTTAAAAATCTTTCTTATAAAAAAATAGAGAGCACCAAGATATCAAATTTGGGTAGGTTTATTATTTGAAAAATGGGCTATATTTTCTTACAAAGTTTAGAAAAATAAAATAAAAGGACTTAAAACAAAGTTAGATCCTCAGCTAGATTATAGATTTTATCTATAAAATCAGAAAAAATTTATGCTACATATCCCACATAAAATATATGCATATAAAACTATTACATTATATTTCATGGTATCTATATAAAAAATAAATCCTAAATTTTAGGTAAGCATGTTTACTGCTGATATCAGCATGAAAGGATTCATATTCTTGGTATATCCAAGTAAAATATCAGGTATACATTTAAACAGTACATATTTATTCTGCATCTTTCATCTTTAAATTGTTTATACCTTTATATTAGAACTAGAGACCTGATGCATGAAATTTGTGCAAGAGTAGGCCTTTCTTCCCCCAGCTGCTGGCACCGGCTTGCCTCTGGCACCCAGCACCTGGGTTTCCCTCACAGCCCCGGCTTCTGCCAGAAGGATGTCCAGTCTAATTAGCATATTATGCTTTTATTATTACAGATGGGTCTGTTCATACTGTATCTTGAGATGTTGAAGTAGGGGTTTCAGCTTATAATCCTTCTATATATAAATATGTTCTACATAATGAGTACCGTATTTGCCGGCGTATAAGACGATTTTTTGGCCCTGAAAAATATGCCTCCAAGTGGGGGGTCGTCTTATACACCAGGTACATTTCAGATAGACTGTCCATAGTGCTTGCCCCGTGCCATAGTGGCCTCCCGATGCCCGCCCACTGCATTCCACATACCGTTCAGGCATCAGCAGCGCTGCTGGGTGTATGCTCGGCTGTTATGCGATTTTGCTGTTATGCGATTTTACCACACTCACAAAATCGCACACAGCCGACCATACACCCAGTATGATAGCGCAAAATCGCGAATCGCGATACCATACTG